CTGATTATGTAGTAAATTTTTGTTTATAATATTATTTTAAAACAATCTTGATATACAATGGTATATTTGACACTTACATGCCAATTACATTACAATTTACAACAATAAAAAAAAGGGAAATTTTTTATATGTACTAGAAGTACGATATTCAATGACAGTACTATAATCATGGATTACATGTCATCATTCAAAAATAATATAATAAAAATATACATGCATTATTTTATTGAAATATCATTTCAAACGGTCAGTTTTCAAGTGTGCATTTTCTATCTTACAACATTCACTATTTAATGCGTCTTACTTGAATAAAGTCGAATTATTACATTGATTGAAGTTATTATTGCTTCGAATATGTACTGCTGTGTTTCACCTCACAGATACTTCAACGACCTCTTTGTCTTCCTATATTTCCGTCCAGTATTTTTGTTAAATTTTTAATAAACAGAGGCAACCACTGTACGTTACATGATCGGATAGAAAATAAGGTTAAAATTCTAAATGTTAGGAAACGATATATTAACCGATGATTACTTCTCATAGGCTAGGGTTGATACGTCGAGGTCGCTTATTGCACAGGCGTCGATCAATAAAAACAAGTAAAGGTACCTCTGTAGCTCGTGAACTCTGTCAACGAGAAATATCAAATAAATTTTCGATGTCAATAATTCTTTACGTTGTTTTCCCATTTTTATAAAATACTTCCATCTATTCAATAATAGAATTTATCATTGCATATGTACATATGTATCACTTATACTTATTGTTACAAAAATAGGTTATAATCAACATAAACGTCATTTAACATTTTACGCGATTTTCTATTATAATAGAAGCCTTTTAGTATCTGAATACGATATTATTTAAACTTTGAATGCTTGCACACAATGTAGAATACGTACAAGTTAGCCGGCAAAGTTTTAATATATTCTTTTACCGACGCAAAAACACAATGGCTTCCGCTGTAATTCTGGAGAATCAAAACAATCTTTAACAAAAATCTTAAAATTGTTTGATTTCACAAAAATCTACGTGATTTTAAATTCAGTACCATATATGTAATATGCGCGGAAGCAATTTCTATACAAATAGCCACCATTTTGCACCCATAACCGCCATAATTAAATGAGACATTAACGCGTCAATTTACTAAAAGAGCAATTAAGTATGCGATAATTACAATAATTTGTAATAATAATAATTAATTTCAGTAACAAGAAAATACGATACTAATAATTTAACAATTCTAACAGGAAATATAATTCCAAGAAAAAATTTTGTTTGATTTACAAGATTAAAATGATTTAAAATATCCTTTGTTTTATAAGCATGACTTTAACAAACCACAGTAAACATATTCATGATTATTTCAACGTTAAAATAATTTACATTATTTAATATATTTATTGTATAATAATAAAATCTGTTTATTGATCTGAAAGAAATATTAATCAGGTCACTAAAAAAGAAACTATTATTCGTAAAATTTATAAATTAAGTTAAAGATGAACAAGTAAAATACAAAACCGTGAAGACATGAATTTGGAAATATGTATTGTTATGTGTATATTGTTCTGATTTATTCAAGTGATAAAGGCTGAAAGCATAGCTTGATTTGTCAAGCAACAATTTCTTCCAGTTGATAAAAAAGGAACATATCATTCAAGGGAATTGAGTATCTTTAAAGACGAATCATTTTGGAAGCACTATTTTGTGGTTGTCGTATGGTTAACAAGTAGTCCGACCAAGTTAGGCCTAACAATAAGTCAGATACGAGTTATTTTTAAGACCATTGTAAAATCGATGTACAGTACCTATGTATAATAAAAGCGGAAGAAGATGGAGGTATGCCGATGACACATACATTCCGTCGATAGTAGTGTCTTCTGTATACCTCTCTAACAATAAGTCTTCTTTGGCAGTGACCTTCCCATAATGAAATGTAAGGCGAACTTTTTTTATGTCAGTAATTTAAAAAATGTAATGGTCAAGTTTGATTTCCTAAGTGGCACTATACATTTCTTGTTAAATTACTTGTCGTTAATATTGTTTAATATAAAAACGACATATAAAATGGTTATTTGATATGGAATAAATTTTAAAATACTTTATATATAAATTCGCAGAGGAAAGTGGAACAAAACTTTCCGAATACGATGTTTCCATGGCAGTCTAGATTGGGTCGTAAAGAACCGCGAGAGAAACATTGTTCATTGGAAACAAATGCATACATAGAGACAATGATGGGTCTGACAGGCTTAGGGATGATAATGCTATAAATAAGAGGTTTAGCTGTTGAATGTTTCATATGCTGCACTGACAAATACAACCTGGCTAACTTTTGAAACTCTCTTATTTGAGTGCATTTGGTACTATCTCCTTCGAAAATGATTCAGAAACGTGTATTTTATACGTAGTGTGTATGTGTATTATAACATTTTAATTTTTTATAGAATATATTATAAATTTATGACACAATAACAAGTATATATTTTTATAGAATTGTAGAATAAAATTTATGTACAATAGACCACAAAAGTGTTCGTACATCTTTTAAAAGCCAACAACTTTTTTAAAACTGGACTGAGTGACTTTAATTTTTTTTAGATGATGGTGGGACCAGTCTACTAGACAATGACTAAAATGCCTTTTTTAAATTTTGCTATTACT